AATTGATAAGTTAGAAATTCTTTAAAACTAATTCTTGAAACTCGTTCAACAATGGTTATCTTATAGGATATAATACTTTCCCACCGAGAAATAATTTGAATATTCCGTCACCTGGTCTCTACCAATGAAAATAATTTCATAAATATTTATCAAACAGATGAAGCTGTGCGTTGCTATTTAGATTCAAAGACTAACTTCCCCAATGGGAAAGACTCGCTGAAACGTTCATTCAAGTATAGAAAATAAAACTCCCCAAATCAAAGAACCTTGTCTCATTCAGTTGATTAACGAGTTTGATATCGGTTTAACGGTGTTAATCGTCAAAGGTTAAAGAGTAAGAAAACTTAAGACGGACAACGGACGATAGTTGAATTGACTTTCAAGAACCTCCCCCCTCCCCCCCTCCCCTCCCCATCCCAAACGCTCAACAACGGCATGTATTTCACAACAAGTTGTAGACACCTGTCAGGCTTCCCAAACGGCGAAGCCTATGTCAGAGTGCAAAATCTGAAATACAAACTACAAGCCCACGCTCAACAAAAAGGAAATATTCGAAGACAAAAATAGCACAGATCCACCACACCATGAAAAACTTTTGTATAAGCTTGTGATAAAGCAACACAACTGTGCGCGAAACTCAACTTTATTTAAAACTGCTTTAAAATACAGAAGTGGCCATCAAGAGGTGACTTTCCACACGTTTTAGGGACATAAACAAAGTTATAGGGACCGCCGACCGGAAAAAACCCTTCTGAATAACAACAAGTGAATAAATATGAGCAAAAGTAGTTCGAATGTTTTTTTATACTGTTCAGACTATTCCACATAGCTAACGCTAATAGATTGCGCTGTAAAATAAGCATATTATGGTAGTAGCATTGCTCGATTTTTTCCAAATTATGCAGCTCAAACTTATGCTCGTCTTTGAAAATTAGGCTACCTTTTACGACTTGGTAGGATGTCATTCATAGTATGAGGTCTAGATATCGAAGGAAAACTCACTCACCCCCTCAATTCTGAGTTCGAGACCCATCCCTCCCCAACTAGGTCTGCTTCTGTCTCCTAGGTCATGCTGCTGCCTGTTGTTGAAACATCTGGGGAGGGAGTGTGTGGGTGGAACAATGACCGAAACTGTTGCCTGAGTACTTGGAGTAATGAGCATAATTGATGATAATGGCGTCTGTCGTCGGGGCTTAATTAAGATCATGTGGCAATCCATCCTGTTGTTCATACAACGTGACGAATTCTCTCCCATCATCTTCTTTTGCTACTCTCCCATTCTAAACCTTCCTAATACTTTTGGGAAGAATATGCACAAACGACTCAGAGCGAGAGTTCAACTCTAGCCCTTTTTGGTAGAGTTTTTTTGTCATCGAACGGGGCAAGAAAAAGCCTTTTCACCACTCAACCAGAAATGTGTGCGGGTTTGTTGACATATGTAAAAGGTTGGGAATCCGCTTGCAATAAATCTGATAGCCTCAAAATCTAGGATTTCGGCAACATTTATAGACTAAAAAATAAATAAATAAAAACCCTCTAAACAGCATTTCACGCATCACCAACTTAAAAGTGAAAAACTTCAAAGCAAATCAATACAACATTGCATGAAT